CCTTGAAACACATCTGCACTTCACCAGATCTTTCTCTGCTTATGTGTAGCTCCATTTCCTCTTTTTTGGGTTCCTTAATGTGCAAGTCTTTTTTTTTTTTTTTGTGAAACCAGGGATTGAACTCAGGCCCTTGCACTTGCCAGGGAAGCGCTTATTCCACTGAGCCATCTCCCCGGCCCCAATGTGCAAGTCAGTTTGGAAGACTGTTTATTCCTCCCACTTATTTTAAAAAGAGAATCATCGAAGGGCTAGCCAAGTTGAAGGTTCCCACCGCAGTCCTTTCTCCTGGGCCTGTGTGAATCTGCAGTCCTCCGTGCTCGGGCCAGTTGTGCAGTGACTGTGGGCACAGCGCCCACTGCAATCAGGTCTCGGCTGGATGCCTCAGCCACCTGGGGTGAAAGTGCAGCTCGGATGGGTGTATGGGGGAGGGGTAATATGAGTATTTTCCAAACAGACCCTGGTGGTGATAGTTTATAGCTCTGTGAATATACTAAAAACTACTAGTTTAGGACTGGGGATGTAGTTCAGTGTAGAACACTGCCTAGCATATGTGAGGCCCTGGGTTCAAGCCCAGCACTGTGCACTGTGCCCACAGTCACTGAGCAACTGGCCTGAGCACAGAGGACTGTGGATTCACACAGGCCCAGAAGGGACTGCAGTGGGAGCCTTCAACTTGGCCAGCCCTTTGATGATTTTTTAAAAAATAAATGGGAGGAGGGGCTGGTGAGATGGCTCAGTGGTCTAAAGCACCTACTTAGAACAAGCTTAGCAAAGCACAGGGACCACGGTTCAATCCCCCAGCACCACAAGCCAGCCAGCCCCACCCCCTGGTGGGCTGAGCTGGCCACACACACACACACACACACACACACAAATTTAAAAAATAAATGGGAAGAAAAAATAAAATAAATGGGGGGGCAGGGAGATGGCTCAGTAGGATAAGTGCTTGACTGGCAAACACAAGGATCTGAGTTCAATCCCTGGTTCCACCAAAAATAAAGAAAGAAAGAAAGAAAGAAAGAAAGAAAGAAAGAAAGAAAGAAAGAAAAATAAATGGGAGGAAGAAACAGTCTTCAAAACTGACTTGCACGTTAAATGGAGCTGCATACTATTTTTTTGGTCATTTTTGACACAGGTTCTCGATCTGCAGTTCAGGCTGCCCTTGAGCTCACTTTGTAGCCCAGGCTGGGTCTTGAACTCAAAACAACCTTCCTGCCTCAGCCTCCTGAGTGCTGGGATTACAGGAATGCACCACCACGCCCAGCAAGTTGTATACTTTCAAGAATGAATTTTATGAGCAGCTACTGTGTAGAAATTCCCCCCTACTTCTAATTTGCTGAATGAAGAAAAAAATCTTTTATTTGTGATATTTTCAGACATTTGCTCTAGTATGGTGTAATAATAAAAACTTAAAAGAAAAAATAAAAAAAAGAATGAATTTTATGGTATATGAATCTCAATAAGGCTTTTTCTCTTTTTTTGCAGAACCGGGGATTGAACTCAAGCCCTTGCACTTGCCAGGCAAACGCTTATTCTACTGAGCTATCTCCCCAGCCCTCAATAAGACTTTTTTGTTGTTATTTAAACAAAGAGTGGCTAGAAGGCCATGGTAGGAAAGACAGGATCTAGATGCTGCATGGGCCAAGGATCACAGAACACAAACTAGTATTTATTTATTTATTTATTTATTTATTTATTTTGTGTGTGTGTGGCCAGCTTAGCCCACCAGGGGGCGGGCTGGCTGGCATGTGGTGCTCAGGGATTGAACCGTGGTCCCTGTGCTTTGCTTGGTTTTAAGTAGGTGCTTTAGACCACTGAGCCATCTCACCAGCCCCCAAACAAAACTTCTAAAGCCCAGTTATTGACTGATCACCCATGCAAAACCTTGGGCCAGCATCTGATATTCTGTGTGCTTATCTTTTTCTACCTGCTTTTGGATTCTCTGGACCTCTGAGCTCTGGGAGAGTGCTTCTGTGGAGAAGCAACCCTGCGCAGTGGACAGCACTCAGATTTAACCTGTGCAGCATTCCTTTTTATTTCTAGAACTGTCCACCTCCTTAAGGAACCCGCTACCTTCTCTCTGGTCACCTAAACTTCAGCTTTTCTTTTTTCTTTCTTTTCTTTTTCTTTTTCTTTTTTTTTTTTTTTTTTGGCGGAATTGGGGATTGAACTCAGGCCCTTGCACTTGCCAGGGAAGTGCTTATTCCACTGAGCCATATCCCTGGCCCTTTTTTTTTCTTTTTTTTGCAGTACCAGGGATTAAACTCAGGACTTCTACTGAGCTATCTCCTTGGCCCCTTCAACTTTTCTTGACTCCCCTCCCGGGTCAGAGCCAACACAAAAAGACAGACTCTTTTGGCTTCACTGTGAAGAGCAGAGTTCCAACACTAAGGAACCAGAAACCTGGGTGTTTTCTGGTTGGTCTGACTCTCGAATAATGATTACAAACACAAAAAGTGTCCCCAACAGAAACCTGCAGCTGTCTCTCTCTCTCTCTCTCTCAAAAAAAAAAAAAAAAAAAAAATAAAAAAAAAAAAAAAAAAAAAAGGGCTGGAGAGATGGCTCAGTGGTCTAAAGCACCTACTTAGAACAAGCTTAGCAAAGCATCGGGGACTGCGGTTCAATCCCCAGCACCACATGCCAGCCAGCCCCACCCCCTGGTGGGCTGAGCTGGCCACACACATACACAATAAATAAATATAATAAATAAAAAAAAAAAATTATTAAAAAAAAAGAAACCTGCAGCTGGGATTCTTTGGATAGAAACTATTTCTGAGCCTGGGATGAGGGCAGGGTGCAAGCAGCCACCGCAGAATCTCGCTTCACTGTCTCAAATGACTCCTGTTCTCAGGAAGGGGAGACGGGCTTTCTCAGACATCTCTCATGGTAGCTGGTCTCACGGTCCTGAAGGATGCCCTTCTCTCCCTGCCTTGCTTGAAGACTTTTGTCTCCTTTCCTGCTTCTGTAAAGACAGAGCCCAGACTCAATGCAGGCTGGCAGCCGGATGCTTCAGCTGCTTCTCCGACTGAATGAACACCTGTTTCTCTAGGCAGTGCTCCTCTCTGGTCTTCCTTGCTGCCTCCTGAGAGCTGAACGGGAAGCCTGCCCTTGGTGCTTTATGGGAAGGAATGTGGATGTGGGCCTTTCCTTGGGCTGGCCCACTGGCCTTGGGTTGGTACAATGGTGGGCAATGTCTGGTGGAATGTGTTTTTTATTTTTGGGGGTACTAGGGATTGAACTCAGGACCTTGTGCTTGCCAGGCAAGTGCTTATTCTACTGAGCTATCTCCCCGGCCCTATGTGGAATGTACTTAATATTACATATACAACTGTAACAAAGCAGTACTGACACTGTAAGCAATAGACTCTGATGTCTTCTACTTTATTCTACTCATTTAAAAAAAATGCTGGACATAAGCCAGCAAAGGATTATTACCTACAACTTAAAAAGCACTGAGGAGGAGCACAGAAAATCAAGAGCAAAAAGAAGCTGGGTATGGTGGTGCATGCCTATAATCCTAGCATTCTGGAGACTGAGGCAGGAGGGTCATAAGTCTGAGCCCAGTCTAGACAACTTACATTTAGTTGTCTCAAAATAAAAAGTAGGCTGAGGATACAGTATGGTACAAAAGCCCTGAGTTCAGTCTCCCAAAATGCAAACACACACACACACACACACACACACACACACACACACTATATATATATCCCATGATGTAATTCTGATCATGGTCTGGATAATAAACTTGCATCACATTGTAAACAATGATGGTGTTATACCCTATGAGGTGCACTGGGAGAAAGAGGAAGGTGGGGATGTGGGAAAAAGGCCTGCAGGTTGCAGTGCTTAAGAATACTGTAGGGCCAGGGAGATAGCTCAGTAGAATAAGCACCTGCCTGGCAAGTACAGGGTCCTGAGTTCAATCCCCAGTACTGCAAAATGAATGAATGAATGAGTGAATGAATATCAAGGCCAGGGTAGATTCTTGCCTAGCATGTGCAAGGTCCTGTGTTCTGTCCCTAGCACTGGACCAAAAAAAGAGAAAGTGGGAAATACAGCAAAATGTGAAAGCAGCAAAAGACATGTTTTCTGCACGGCATGTCACAGTCTTCTTGTGACGGTGGGCTCCAATTTGTGACCCTCTTGCCTTAGTCTCCCAGAGGGCTGAGAGCAGTGAAAACTGCGAGCAGCTTACTGTACACATTTTGAACATTGCTTTAATGAATGGAGAAAAATCTCAGGGTTGCTAGGAGCACAAGCAAGATCAGCTGTAAAATGTCCTAGAAGACCTTTTAAGCAAAATAGTTTGCCAATCCTGTGACAGTTACTACAGTTGGTTACTTGGGGCTGTGCCATGAAAGGTGAAGTGTGGGAGGGTATGGGAGCTCTACATTCACAGCTTTACTGCATCTGAAGACATCTCCGTATGGGTGTCAGGGCTGTGCAAAAAGTTGTTATTCATCCTCAAAGACAAGTCTGCTTTCTACAGTAAGAGCGGGGAGCTTAGAGGAGACACGGGCATCTTGGGTGATTCAGAACATGGCCAGGACCCTATGACCCAGCTGATGGTATCTGTGAGGAAATGGGCACAGGGTCACCCTCATCCCTTCTTCGCCAAAAAGAGAAGAGAAGCTAGGCATGATGGCAGATGCCTGTAATCCCAGCACCTGGGGAGCTGAAGCAGGAGGATCATGAGTTCAAGACCAGCCTGGTATACCCAGGTTCTCAGCCAGTGTGGACTACTCAGTGAGGGCCCCCTAATAAGGAAGTGGTGTGTGGGGAGGTTAAGGGAGGCAAATGAAAAGATTAAAAATGACCAATATGCCATATTTATGTACCAACTCCCCAAAATGAATGTCGCTATTATGTATTTCATATATACACTGCTTAAGAAACATCCAGATGGGGGCCTGCCCCTTAGCTCAGTTCTTTAAGTGGCTGCATCGACAAAGCATTCAGGCTCAGGTTGCTGTGGTTTGAGCCCCACAACTCAAGCCAGCCAAACCTGCCCTGAAGGCATGTGGAGCAAAAAAAAAAAGAAACATCCAGAGACTTCTAGTTCATGGTCAGCCTAGAGTCACTGTACCTTGCCATGCCAAATATCCATTTCTGTCCCTTTGTAAGTACATTCCTGCTCCTGCCAACACTGTGGATACCTTTTTTTGGGGGGGGAGGGGGATGAGGGTTCAGAGGATCCTTTGGAAGTCAAAGAGCCAAGACCAGCTAGGTGGGGTCCTGGGGGCTGGAGGAGGGACACTGTGGTGGCTGGTCTGGATGGTAGAGGATCTGGTGAAGCAGGGCACGAGCTGCATGGAGGTCATCAGGATCTGAGGACAGAAAGGGAGCTGGTGAGAGGCTGGGGGTTCCTAGGTGCCTGGCCTCCAGCTCTCCCGGGACTCACCCACACCCAGCTCCTGCAGCAGGCTGTGATACTCAGGTACAGCCTCTAGCAGCTTCAGCAGACTGCTGGACTCCATCCGCTCTAGCTGCACCTCCCAGTACACATAGATCTTCTGGTTGAAGGTGACATACACAAGGCAGGGGCTGTTGCGGCCCTCTTTACAGGCATACAGGCCTGGGAGATATGGACAATGAGACAAAGGTCAAGCTCAGGTCCCACTGCCTGGGGGAAGAACAAGACATCAGAGCTCCTCTGCCCCCCTTAGGATGAGCAATGATGGTCCACTTTCTATTGTTTCTCTGCTGGGAACTCAGTAAACAGGTTAAAAATATAGGAAAACTGTAGTAAAATAGGCAGAATAGCATCCAAAAAGATGGTATTTTTGATTTTCCTACTCTAGAGATATCCCTGAAATCTAAGGGACAGCCCTACCAGTCCAAAGAGCTGGCTAGCTAGATGTGACTGGGAAGAGGCTTCTCTTAGGTTGCTACCCTTCCTTCAAGGCAGTGTATGTCAGATTTTCAAGTCACTGGTGCGTGTCTCCCAGAGACAGGCCCAATTCCTATCACATTGTTTTTCTGTGGTACTGGATACTGAAGGCAGCACCTCATGTATGTTGGTCATTTCTCTACTCCGGAGGTACACTCACAGACCTTTGTAATTTTGGTACCAGACAGATGCTCCGGTTGATCAAAAAGCCAGTGCCGCTTTTCAAAGTTTTCAATTTGGAACTAACTGAGAATGCTCCAGGAGAATTTTCCTCAGAGTTCTAGCATGATCAGACGGAAAAGGACTCTAGTGTCTTTCCATATTCCAGATACACAGAGAATGGATTCCATTTTTTAAAATTTGAAACTGTCAGATTGGTATGGTGGTGCATGCTTATAATCCCAGCACTTGGGGGGGCTGAGGCAGATTACTGCGAGTTTGAGGCCAGCCTGGGCTACAAAGTGAGTTGAAAGCCAGCCTGCATAGCAAAATACTGCCTCAAAAAGCCCAAAACAAAACAAACAAACAAACAAACACAAAAAACTATCAAGATGGTGATGGAATGCCTGCCTCTCACCTGCTAATACAGGTGCTTGTAACAGCTGACTGGTTGTGTTAACTTGAAAAGTTTACTTAAGAGAAGTCTCAGCAATTCTATACCCTAGAGTAGGGAAGACCCACCCTTGGGTGGCTCAGGGCCTGGATGGGATGAAGGGAGAGGAGGAAGGATGGATCTGCTTTTGTTCTTTGGAGGAGCTCCAGTCTTTGCCTTCAGCTTGGACAACACTCCTGGCTTCCAGCGCAGACTCTTTGGCTTCCAGCACAGATCCCTCAGCCTTTCGGCAGAGACTCTTTGGCCTTCCTATTCACCTCCTGGCAGGGACTTGCAGGGACACTGCAGTGAACTCTACACTTTCCGTCAGTCTCCATCTCTGTACGCTTTCTCATCCAACTCTGTGGGTGGCCACTGTAAACCAATCTTGGAACTCTGTATACATTTGTGTATCTTATGTTATATGTATTTCTCTACAGAGAAATAGACTGACAGTGCCTAAAGAACTCATTCATCTATAAGACTTCCATTTGTGGCTCGTAGAGTAGCACCTCTCCTGTCACTGTCTAAAGCATGCCCAGAGAGGAGGCTGTTGGGGAAGGGCTCACCTGCACAGAAGGCACGGATATTTTCATCCACTTGGAAGCGGACAACAGTTCGGTTGTGATCAATAATATATGTCTGTCCATCCCAGGCACATGCAACCACCTCCTCATGTCCATTACCCTGAAAAAGGCCAGAGACAAGGAAGCACCAGTGGCCAGGAGTGCTTTAGCAAGACTTTTTTTTTTTTTTTTTGCACAACTGGGAATTAAACTCAGGCACTTGCACTTGCCAGGCAAGCGGTTATTCTACTGAGCCATCTCCCCGGCCCTAGCAAGACACTTAATGGTGGAGACTGGAAGAGCTAAAAAGGAAGTGAACTGACTCTGGATGGCAGACTGTGAGCTGGGGAACTCCTGTGCCCATCCAAGAGAGCAGTCATAAATGATCCACCTTTCACAATGCCAAGGAACAGGCCGCATTATTATTTTTTTGGTGGAACCTGGGATTGAACTCAGGCCCTTGTGCTTGCCAGGGAAGTGCTTATTCTACTGAGCCATCTCCCTGGCCCCCAGGCAGCATTATTCACAACTTTATTTATTTATCTTTTTTTAAATGAACTTAGGACAGGGTCTAAGGGTCTACAGGGTGTACAGGGTCTCACTACTAGATCAGACTCATAGTGATCCT